TTTTAATTTGAAGATACACGAACATGAAAAGGTATAGGTGAAATTGAACTCTGTTGGTCAAGAAAAATAAGTAACTAAATGGAGGTGAATGCCGAAAACAATTTGTACACTTTTGTAAGACTAGTGTCATATGGTGTATTAAAGGCTTATCCCAGTCTAAAGTTGAATAATAATAATAATTGGAGGTTCTTATATACCGCTTTATCACAACCTAGTTCATAGGTCGTCTCAAAGCGGTTCACAAATTATTGTCAGTGGTTATAGGGCCTTTGCAACCAGCAAGTACGTTTCTCAACTCCCTAGGGAGCATACAGCCGGGGCTGCCATTTCGGCGCTAACAGCTAGCATTCAACAATTCTAGCACTGCCCAACCACATACTTATTTACAGCTGAGTAGACTGGAACAAGCGGAGTAAAGTATCTTCGAGCAAGATACAACACATTGAAGTATGAATCCTTTAAAAGTTTTTCAATTTTGTCCAATTTATATTATACATTTGTGATCAATTAATTGTCAACCAGAAGGTATTGATTTGGATACATGTGCACTTAAGTATATTATTATATTACAGGCAATATCGAAATTAAAAAATGTTGAATGGGTTTGATCTAAAAATGATGGATGTTCTATATCTGCCCATCTTTATTTGAGTATTACAATAAAATATGGTAAATGTCAGCTTTGATATGCGGAAGTGTATGTAAGGTCGATCTTCACATCAAACAGTTGCAGCCATGCATCCGAAACTAATTACTTCATGACAAAGCTCTATTATGAGGGCAGACACATTATTGCTGTGTTTCTAGGTTTTTGTCCAAATATTTGTAAAGTTAATTAAGTCTTTTCAGTTAGAAAACCATAAAATGAAATTTGTGAATTTATAAAATTATACTTTGGTGATTGAAATATAAAAAAAAATGTTGAGATATGTTTTTGTTCTATTCCCCAAAAATTAATGTTTATTGGCCTATTTTTTTTGCTTTACATTGGTTAAGGCCACAGCTTCATGTATATATCTGTGAGAAATGTGTGGTATATCTATGTAAACGTGATCCTGTTGGAAATATGTGTTCGATGCCAGGTATGCTAGCAGCTGACCTAGTTATTCCTGTGATTGGTATGTGGTTACTCTTCCATGACCAAGGTTTGTGTACACCTGTCCATCAATTACCTGCTTACTCATTGTGTAAACATCAGTCCATTCATAATTAGCTGAGACATGCATGTGTATATATTGCTAGTGTGTATTTATGACCTATATGTATAAATATTTTTATAAAATATCAATGAACAACACCTGTTTATGTACAAGTGCAAAGTAAATATGTATATAAATACATGTTTAAAAGGATAGTGTACACGTTACAGACATATATGCATGTATATATATTTTATATACACTTGAATCATTGATCGAGTTCATCACATCATCAATTTGTTGAGGTGGAGAAATAGGCCATGATTCAGTCAAGGGTTTGATAAATAACTTAACTTTTAAGGTAGAAATACTTGGTGCTCATTTATTAATAATATAGCTTTATATCCTTCCAAATTTGTATTAGCTTAGCTGAATGAAAGATTGGGTGGGTTTGGGAGGGGAGTCGAAATCTAGAAGCCATATCCTGCATTCTGAGCATATTTCCCAGTATACAAAATTTTGCAGGAGAAAAATATTGTTTAGAAAGTGGAACTCTGACAAGTGTTCCTTTTCATTTTATTTTTTTCTTCAGCTTTTTATTAATTTGTGGAATATATAGCTACTTGAGTTTTTTTGGCACTGATTGGTTCACCCGCTGTCTCTCATCATTCCTTTATTGTCTTTTCTTCTGATCTGCCTTATGGTCTGTTCATGTAAACATTATTTTCTGACAGCACATTGTTGTGGATGTCGGGCAACTGGAAGTTTGAATATCAAGTTTGTACCATTGGTGATGCCAATGGACTTTTCTTCCTACCTTTCTAGTTCCTACGTATACACTGTGATAGAACAGGACATCACAATTTATTGCAAGAATACTTCAATTTTTTTTTCCAGCTTGATGGGTCATTCAGCCCGCTGTGGTAAAAAATAATCTGGAGCTCTGTTTGGGTACTTGAATTGGTTGCATTAGTAGGTAGGGACGAAATCAAAATTTTACCAGCCATTGACAATGTTTCACAAATGTACATTAATACATTACCATAGATAGAAGTTGATTTGAAGAACAAAGTTGGCTATATTGTATTTAAGTTATATCTTTGAAGGATTTATTTTTATGCCCACCCCCACTTCAACAAAGTCAAGAGTATATAGTATTCACTTCGTGTGTGTGTCTGTCTTGAGGTCTGTGCTGACCTCTTTCCAGATCATATCTCAGCCACTGTTTGATGAATGGGCATCAAACTTTGTATATACCGGTAGGTATATCATGGGAAGGTGTTGTGTTGCATCCTAAAACCATAAAATACTGGAGGGATCTTTCTCAAATTTCACTTGAGGGTTCCCCAATGCCCCTAGTTATGCGTATCAATTTCAGGAATAATCGGAAAACCAAGATGGCTGACAGATGACCCTTTTTTTAATTTTGAGAGTTGAAGTTTTCAGTGCTAATTCTCTGAAACCTTTTGAGGGATCTTTCTCAAATAAAGATTCCCAATCAGTAACAAGAATGCATCTGTCATTGACAGCACTTCTAAGTTGATATACAATATTCCCATTTAGGATTATCAACATGGGACTAGGTTATAGTACCTGTCAGGAAAATGAAGAGTTAAGAAGATAAAAGATCATCTTTTGTAGATCTGACAAAGATCCTGTACATGCCATGATGGGCGTCAAGGTCCTTCGTGGATCTCTTGTTTTTAAAATACTTTGTATGCACTTTAATTTCTCTCATGGGGCTTAACAAGTGTATACTGTCCCTGTCAGTACTCTCATAAATACTGTGTTAGTGAATTGAAATGTGTATTGTTATGAAAGCTAGTGCTGACATAGAAATACATCACAGTAAAGAAGATGAGGATCTGACCTATAGGAGTATATCTATTACAGTATTAACCTTTGTGACATGTTCAGCCACACCCTGCCATTAACTTATGGAGTGTTTCCATAAACTAAAGGCCCAGTCCCATTGCCAATGACGCATAAATCACGCATAAAATTGGTTTGTGCGTGATTGTTCGTGGAGAAATTGGTCATTTTCTGGGGTTGTGCATGGTCAGAATCACCGATGAATCGCGTATAAACTGCGCATGTATCACTTACAATCACTGACAAAGAACGAACATTCCACGCACAACAGCGCACAAGCCCAAACCCGATACAATTTCTGACGTTCAATCGACGCATGTATAGCACAAAACTGAAGAAATTGGCCGAAATGGCTGCTTTTTATACAGGAAAATTCCATGCGTGATTTGTAAGTGATTCATAAGTGATGCATGCGTGTTCATGCGTAGTTTATAAGTTTTTCATATGTTATTTGAGCGTGTTTCTTGCGTTAATAATTTTGGTAAGTGATTGCAAGTGGAACATACGTGGATTGTGCGTGTTTTTTAAGTGATATGTGCGTGTTCTGTCAGTGTTCCGTCAGTGTTTGTGCGTCAGGAACTGGCTCCTAGCACGCACATCACTGACGACTCACGCACAAAGAAAATTTTATGCGCAATTCATGAGTAATTCGTGCGCAAGTGCAGTGGGATTGGGCCTTTAAATACAAATAACAATTAATATAGAAAACCGTAAGAATATATATATAGTGTCAGGAATACAAATCATACATTGTGCTAGTTAATAAAGGTTACTAACACTGCAAGATTGAGGAGCAGTTTTGTTGTATTTTCTATGTCAGCATGACCTGCTAGGTGGCCATCATCACAACCATCAATCATTTATCCTAAATCATATATTTGAAATATTAATAATGGTTTAGCTAAAGTTGATGCCTAAATAAATTAGGGTTCCAAATCAAAATTAGAGGTGAAATTTTAGTTGTCTTGAACTTTTAAACAAAATAGATTACAATTGAGTCAAGAAATAGAGCAATTTATTTGTTTCATTAGTGAAAACTAACTACGTTGTATAATGAAATGTGACATTTGAAAATATTGCTGGTATTTCTCCCAATATTTATCTAGGACGGCCTGAAGTTGTTTGGTCTTAAGTGGTCAAGACAAATGAGTCCATTAAAGTGTTTAAACACGCCACACCTTCAGGATAAAAGTTTAGCACAAGCTATCACTGCCAGTACAAAGACCAGGACATGAAAACGAACGCTGGCATAGCAGTATGGAGAGTCCCAAATCTTAAGGAAACGCATGCTCTTGTTTTCCATCAATTATTCATTTATCAATCCAAGAGATGCAATGCTGGTGTAGGATTGAAATGTAATCAGGCTTGTACAACAATGACAGATTGTCTCACCAAAATAATGTCAGATTTTATACCAATACAGGGGGTGGAGGCTTTGGATTAATAAAACCAGAATTGAATTCCATACACTCTCCCATTGATATTGAAAAAAAAATGAAAATTATGCAAGATTAGTTTTAAATGATAATGGAAACATCATTTTCATCTGCTTCATGACTTAAAAAATGAATATGTTATTTTTCGGCCATAGAACTTTTTAAGGATAAGCTCTAGTTTAAGAACAAGTGTCTAATTAGTGGTGTTTTGCAGAAAGTAAATAGGACAATTAGAAAATGACAGATGGGTATAGAGTTGTCTAAACCAGGCACCTACATATGTATACAATCATCTAAAGAACTAGTGACACTTACAGATTTGTTTGTACAAGAAAGTGTGCTGTGGTTGTATTGCACATGTGTACAGTAGAGCCTCTGTAATCTAGACAACTTCCCTTCCAGCTGTAGTTGCAGGTTTGTTAAACGACTTGGTTTTCATAGAAGAAGGCAGTAAATCATTAGCTGGATAAGATGTGGTTATAAGATTAACTCTCCTGTCTTTATTTCAGAACTTAGTAAATTTGAAAGTAAAAATGACAATTCGTTATTACAGATGCTCATCGAGCCCTGGAGCTCCTTGAAGATTACCACACTCGACTTACCAAGCCCCAGGACAAGCAGCTCAAAATGGCCATCGAACGTGTCATCCGAATCTTCAAAAGTCGACTCTTCCAGGCCCTTTTAGGTAAGTGTTATTTTAAAGATTGTGGTTCAGGCTTCTAAATTATTTATGTTTTGTTGTATTTATAAAAGTTTTCATAGATACCACCAATCAATGGTGATACACTCCTACATAGGTAAGACCTATTTTGAGGTAAAATTCCTTGAGATTTTTTCTCACCCCAAAATCTGGCAAGTATGCTTATGCACCCACTGGTTTCATTATAAGATTTATTTTTGTATTTTTGTTCATTTCTGATCGAAAGTGGTGATAATTAAATGTCTCTTGGGACCAAATATTGTAAGGCAGGGAATACACTGAATTTCCGACACTACTGAAATAAATTGCATAATTGTATAAGAAAAATATCACATGTTCATGCACTTTTTTTCTAAACAGAAACTGAAATATAAATTTGTATTGGTGACAAATGCATGCATCAACTCAGTAAAAACATTACTTTTCTGTGCTTAGATATCAACATAATTTGCAAAAATAATAGGGTACTAAATACATTTTCTGTGCTTAAATATCAATGTTATTTGCAAAAATAATAGGGTACTACTAGACAAAAAGACTGGTAATCTGCAGCATTTGGCTACAGGTACTAGTTTGTTTTGTCCAGTGGTTGGATGGTGTAATAGTAATTTGTACTGTACTGAGGTAATTTCTTACATTATTTATTACAATATTACAATATTGTGACTGACAGATTTGCCTATAGTGATTATAAGGCCCTGGCATCTATATAATTAACATTGTCCTTATTACAAAACACTAGGCCAGTTCTTGTATATGAATGAGTCTGGTAAATTGGAATTGTATTAATGGCAATGGGTATGAAACAAGCACCTGTTCAGAGTTTTGTAGAGTACATTTAGCATCCCTTATGTTGGCCCCTGGTCCATTATTTCTGAATGATCCGTTTAAACAATAACGGAAAATCAATTGAACATGCTGTTGCTATTTATACTTCATGCATATCAAGATATTGATGAAAGAAGCCTAGTTGAACAAACATATTTTTGAAATTTTAAAGATAATATAGATATATGGGAGGAGCGATGTTAACTTGATTACCGTCTGCTGACAGGTCCTGCCTGAGGGTGCTTATGTTATGTGCCCGTAAGAGCTGTAAATGATGATTGCTTTTCACGTACACATACTAAGTTAACCTTGATAATGTCTCTCTTCTCTTGTTTTGTACTTTAACCTTAATGACGGACGTGTCTCTGATAACATTGGTACGTTCAGCGTGCCGCTATGATGTCACTGTTGTAGTGGCAGGATGTTGACAGGTATTGCATCTTACCTGTATTGTTAGTGTCAACAATTATCTTAAAAGTGTCCGGAAAAAGTGTGTCACCAAATTTTCTCTGTTGGCACCTGTGTGTCTGATAGATTCTGACAGGCTGGGGGTGTATTTAACCTAGATCTAGTGTTAAGTGGTCCTAATAATGGTCTCCCTTTTATGTTGGTTGTGACACCTAAAATCCTCAGTCGAGTACTCATGCCTAACAGGGTGTCAATTGGCCCTGCTAGTTGTCTCCCCTGAATAGAGGTATTGGTACCTGCATGTCTAGGACTTACACTAAATGTTTTTTGATACAGTACATGTATCATTGGCTATCTGTTACCCATTCCCAGATTTTCATGTGATATTTTCTATCCTCTTTGTCGTGCACATTTTGAGGTGTTGTATTTTTTTGAACTATTTTTGTATGTTCTTTTATTTTCTTACTATATTTTTAGGTGTAGTCAAACATTGTTGTCGAATTGGCATGCATTCTCCCTTTTCCTTCCAAAAGTACTTTTGTTTTGTCACTTCTATGTTTGTCTCTTGAAGTATTAATTGTTTCCATCTACTTTCTCCCGGTTTGTCTCAAAAGGTGTAATTGACTTGAAGTACCTTCTTCATCTCTTGAAGTGTTGTTGGCATGTAGTATCTCCCTCTGTGTTCTGAAGTGTTGGTGACATGTAGTATCTCCCTCTATCTCCTGAAGTGTTGTTAACATTTAGTATCTCCCTCTGTGTCCTGAAGTGTTTTTGACATTTAGTACCTCCCTCTGTCTCCTGAAGTGTTTTTGACATGTAGTATCTCCCTCTGTCTCCTTAAGTGTTGTTGACATGTAGTATCTCCCTCTGTCTCCTGAAGTGTTGTTAACATTTAGTATCTCCCTCTGTCTCCTGAAGTGTTATCGGCATGTAGTATCTCCCTCTGTCTCCTGAAGTGTTGTTGACATGTATTATCTATCTCCCTCTGTCTCCTGAAGGGTTGTTGACATGTAGACTCTCCCTCTGTCGCCGGAAGGGTTGTTAACATTTAGTATCTCCCTCTGTCTCCTGCAGTGTTGTTGACATTTAGGATCTACCTCTGTCTCTTGAAGTGTTGTTGACATGTAGTATCTCACTCTGTGTTCTGAAGTATTGTTGACATGTAGTATCTCCCTCTATCTCCTGAAGTGTTGTTAACATTTAGTATCTCCCTCTGTGTCCTGAAGTGTGTTGTTGACATTTAGTATCTCCCTCTGTCTCCTGAAGTGTTGTTGCCATGTAGTATCTCCCTTTGTCTCCTGAAGTGTTGTTGACATTTAGTATCTCCCTCTGTGTCCTGAAGTGTTGTTGACATTTAGAATCTCCCTCTGTCTCCTGAATTGTTGTTGGCATGTAGTATTTCCCTCTGTGTCCTGGAGTGTTGTTGACATTTAGAATCTCCCTCTGTCTCCTGAGCTGTTGTTGGCATGTAGTATTTCCCTCTGTCTCCTGAATTGTTGTTGGCATGTAGTATCTCCCTCTGTCTCCTGAAGTGTTGTTGACATTTAGTATCTCATTCTGTCTCCTGAAGTGTTGTTGGCATGTAGTATCTCCCTATGTCTCCTGAAGTGTTGTTGACATTTAGTATCTCCATCTGTCTCCTGAAGTGTTGTTGGCATGTAGTATCTCCTTCTGTCTGCTGAAGTGTTGTTGGCATTTAGTATCTCCCTCTGTCTCCTGAAGTGTTGTTGACATGTAGTATCTCCCTCTGTGTTCTGAAGTGTTGTTGACATTTAGTATCTCCCTCTGTCTCTTGAAGTGTTGTTGACATGTAGTATCTCCCTCTGTGTCCTGAAGTGTTGTTGGCATGTAGTATCTCCTTCTGTCTCTTGAAGTGTTGTTGGCATGTAGTATCTCCTTCTGTCTCCTGAAGTGTTGTTGGCATGTAGTATTTCCCTCTGTGTCCTGAAGTTTTGTTGGCATGTAGTATTTCCTTCTGTCTCCTGAAGTGTTGTTGACATGTAGTATCTCCCTCTGTCTCCTGAAGTGTTGTTGCCATGTAGTATCTCCCTATGTCTCCTGAAGTGTTGTTGACATGTAGTATCTTCCTATGTCTCCTGAAGTGTTGTTGACATGTAGTATCTCCCTCTGTCTCTTGAAGTGTTGTTGACATGTAGTATCTTCCTATGTCTCCTGACGTGTTGTTGACATGTAGTATCTTTCTATGTCTCCTGAAGTGTTGTTGCCATGTAGTATCTCCCTCTGTCTCTTGAAGTGTTGTTGGCATGTAGTACCTCCCTTTGTCTCCTGAAGTGTTGTTGACAATTAGGTTGTCCCTCTGTCTCTTGAAGTGTTGTTTTCATGTAGTACCTCCCTCTGTCTCCTGAAGTGGTGTTGACATTTAGTATCTCCTTCTGTCTCCTGAAGTGTTGTTGACATTTAGTATCTCCCTCTGTCTCTTGAAGTGTTGTTTTCATGTAGTATCTCCCTCTGTCTCCTGAAGTGTTGTTGACATTTAGTATCTCCTTCTGTCTCCTGAAGTGTTGTTGGCATGTAGTATCTCCCTATGTCTCCTGAAGTGTTGTTGACATTTAGTATCTCCCTCTGTCTCCTGACGTGTTGTTGACATGTAGTACCTCCCTCTGTTCCTATGTCTCCTGAAGTGTTGTTGACATGTAGTATCTCCTTCTGTCTCCTGAAGTGTTGTTGGCATGTAGTACCTCCCTCTGTGTCCTGAAGTGTTGTTGGCATTTAGTATCTCCCTCTGTCTCCTGAAGTGTTTTTGCCATGTAGTATCTCCCTTTGTCTCCTGAAGTGTTGTTGACATTTAGTATCTCATTCTGTCTCCTGAAGTGTTGTTGGCATGTAGTACCTCCCTCTGTGTCCTGAAGTGTTGTTGGCATTTAGTATCTCCCTCTGTGTCCTGAAGTGTTGTTAGCATGTAGTATCTCCCTCTGTGTTCTGAAGTGTTGTTGACATGTAGTATCTCCCTCCGTGTCCTGAAGTGTTGTTGACATTTAGTATCTCCATCTCCCTATGTCTCCTGAAGTGTTGTTGACATGGAGTATCTTCCTATGTCTCCTGAAGTGTTGTTGACATGTAGTATCTTCCTATGTCTCCTGAAGTGTTGTTGACATGTAGTATCTTCCTATGTCTCCTGAAGTGTTGTTGACATGTAGTATCTTCCTATGTCTCCTGAAGTGTTGTTGACATGTAGTATCTTCCTATGTCTCCTGAAGTGTTGTTGACATGTAGTATCTTCCTATGTCTCCTGAAGTGTTGTTGACATGTAGTATCTTCCTATGTCTCCTGAAGTGTTGTTGACATGTAGTATCTCCTTCTGTCTCCTGAAGTGTTGTTGGCATGTAGTATTTCCCTCTGTGTCCTGAAGTGTTGTTGACATTTGGTATCTCCCTCTGTCTCCTGAAGTGTTGTTGCCATACATGTAGTATCTCCCTCTGTGTTCTGGAGTGTTGTTGACATGTAGTATCTCCCTCTGTGTCCTGAAGTGTTGTTAGCATGTAGTATCTCCCTCTGTGTTCTGAAGTGTTGTTGACATTTAGTATCTCCCTCTGTCTCCTGACGTGTTGTTGACATGTAGTACCTCCCTCTGTTCCTATGTCTCCTGAAGTGTTGTTGACATGTAGTATCTCCTTCTGTCTCCTGAAGTGTTGTTGGCATGTAGTACCTCCCTCTGTGTCCTGAAGTGTTGTTGACATGTAGTATCTCCTTCTGTCTCCTGAAGTGTTGTTGACATGTAGTATCTCCTT